CACATTAGACTGGAGTCCCTGCTGGGTTCTCCTTGTCTGTGCCCCCAGGCACACAGAAACCAAGCAGCTGTGGAAATCAACAGTGGACTGAAGGCGAGTCTTCTACCTGCTCCCCTAGAAAACTCTGGCACGTAAAACTGCCGGCATGGAAAGGGGTGATCTGAGCCTGGGCACAATAGTGTCATTTCAGGACAATTTCACAACAGGGAAGATAATGTGAATATATTTGATGATATTCAAATATCATCTGTGTGTTATCATTTTACTCAACACTCAAAACACGAAGTCTGCCAAGCAGATTTATAGAGCTTGGCAAACTTTCCATTTCATGAATGACACTTAATGTGAAATTATCTTCACTCACTAATAGAATAACAGTGATGGAACAGATCCACGCATTCCAGTAAAACTGTAACCAGTTAACCCCAGACATCTCTATAAAATGCTCTCACAACTTAGAAGAAAGGAGGGTTTGTTTAGTAAGCCCTAAGAACACACCGTTCACTTCTCAGTGTGTACTGGTCCAGGACTCGGCATATCCGCAGCTACTCTAACCTTTTCCCACAGGCAGCTAGACCTCACAGGGGCTATCTAAAATACACCAGATTGGTATCTTCTCCCTGCTTTGCTGTTCACAGGCATCCTCTTAAACTGTGAAGGTAAAAGCGAGGATTAAATTCTTGCATGAGGTTTCATTTGCTGCTAAATACAAAATAAAATTTTGTCTACAAATGAAAATTATGTCTACAGGGCCCAGCCTTGAAGCCAGCAGGATCTCATATGGGTGCCAGTTCATGTCCCGGTTGCTCCACTTCCCTTGCCGCTCCCTGCTTATAGCCTGGGAAAGCAGCAGAGAATGCCCCAAAGCCTTGGGACCCTGTGCCCACGTGGGAGACCGGGAAGAAGCTCCTGGCACCTGGCTTTGGATTGGCTCAGCTATGCCCATTGCGGCAACTTGGGGAGTAAACCAGCGGATTAAAGTTTTTCTTCTCTGTCTCTCTTTCTTTCTGTAAATCTGCCTTTCAAATATACATATATATTACATATATATTAAAATTATTATGTCTACCAAAAGATGTGAAAATCATCATGATTGGTAGTTCTCCTTTTCCTAGTACTCTTGGCCCCTCATCAGGATGTTTTCTGAAATGGGGGAGTAGGCACTGATTTTCCTGTAAAGAAATTCACCTTTTCCCTCCTGCAGAATTTGAAACTTAGGTGAGTTGAAACAATTAACTATGCTTATTCTAAATATCCAAAATATATCCAGATTTTTGCATAGTGAATCCTTTCAAAATATAGGTTTATCTCCTTCGCGCTCCCAGCTGGCTGCAATGCCTCTAAGCCCACTCACCCCCGATGTTAGCATGTACCTGACACGTTCTTTCTGGACCTTCTTCCTATAAGCCAAGAGAAGAATGAAGCTGCCTTTTTCTTTATCTGTCCATACTACTCCAACATCAACATGGGTCATTGGTTGGCAATAGTCATCAAAAAAACACCAGAGGTTTGGACAATATGCGACCACTTGACAACTGAAAATGAACCGGACAAGTGGAGCATGGCAGTGTCACAAGCCAGCTCTTTAACCCTAAAGTCACAAAGAAGGAAACAGAAATACTGAAGACTTGCTAGTGAATTAGTTGCACTTCTCAAAGTGTCCCAAGAAAGCTATTTCACAATGGTGAATGAAGGTAGATTCTAGAAACCAACAAATCCCATTCATTTCCTTCAGTTTGTAAAAACAAGCAACTGCCATGCTTCCTGCCAATGAACACATGTGCAGATAAGAAAGCTCCCTACAGGAAATTCTTTGCTTAAAGAGACCGATTGTGCCATTAAGCATAACCTTCTTCACAAAATCCTAATCCGTCAAGTAGGGGAGCAAGAAGCACAAGAGACATCAGCCAAATGATGTTTTATCGCTTGCAAGGCCTCCAAGGGGGACATGAAAGAAACACTGCTACAGAGGGAGGATTGTGCTTCTCCCCTCCCCCCTGCAATTAATTCATTGATGAAAACCAAGCAGTTAGCTGCTCCTTAACAAAAATATTCTGTTAATTGAGTAAGTTTCAAAATGGACCATTTTCCATTAAGATAGACCAAGAGGGTGCTATAAATTACCATGACTGGAAGGAAGATATTTCTAAGAGACTATCAAGAAATTAAAATTCGTAGACCGGCCCTAAAAAATGAAGAAAGCACAGTCACTGCATTTGCTCTCTGGGTGCCAGGTTCCATGTCCACCCTCAAAGGCAAAATTTAGGAGAGGCCCTCCTGCTCTGTGGTTTTGTTTTTCCTTCCTCAGAGCCAGGAGGCATGTGTGCTCCAAAGCTTCCCCCTTCTTTATACTCCTTGGAGAAATCACCACCAAGATATTGAAAACATCTGCAACTTTGATCTCGGGCACCTTCCAGCCATCCTGAAAATAAAATCACTCTTTCCTATCCACAAAAGAGGAAAGTTTTGTAAGTCAACCAGATAACTGTCCTGCCAGTTTGGAAGCTCACTTCCCCAGTCTTCATTTCCCCCTGCACACACAGCCTCAGGGCACAGTTCCAAAACACCACAGTTCTTTTAAGTTCAATTGCCTTAGCTCAGCTTTGAACCCCTCCAGCACTCCAGCCCCAGGTAAGAGCCCCCTCCTGAAGGCTCCCCCAACTGGGTTCCCACCCGTGGCCAGCGGTACACACAGATGAGCTTGACTCCTCCATGAAATGCTCAGACCTCAAGCCCTCACCCGGGCTACTCAGAGTTAGCAAAAATGCTAAGCAAGCAAAAGTGCCCATCCTGGCTTTAAAGGCTTTTAGCACAAATATTTTCAATAATAAAAAAAAATACCGCTATGCAAGCCGGGAGGCTACATTTTTAGTTGTTGTTGTAAAATGACCTTGATTTGACGGGCGCAGACTCGGGTTTCAACAGACGCTGGGGAAGAAGCTCGGCTCACAGAAGCCGGTATGGTCTCCAGGCATCTGATGACAGGCATGGGGTGCTGGTGGCGGCAGTGGATGGATGTGGAGTGGGGGGTGGGGTTACCTTCCTCGGTTTCCATGACAACCGTGTCTCCACTCCTCGGTTATTAGATACCATCCACTTCCTGTGTCTAAATGTTTAAGCCAATCAGAAAAGTGTTTCTACGCTGAGCAACTTCTGGGACGGTGTTTCAGTCAGGAGGCACTGGGAAGCCTCCGAAGAGGATGGACATGGGCCTCCCCTTTTTCTCTCATACAGATACAGCACCTCACCCCGCTTTACTGATTCACATTTTTCTGTGGTCCAGAACGCCCCTTTTCTTGGAAATGCAAAGCATCCTCCTCGCAGCAGATTCCACAATTTCTGGTAACAGTGCGCACGCTGATTTTGCCTGCTGGAGCTCTCTCTCTCTTCATTGTGTTTTCCTTTCCCTGACAGACTTAGAATCCGATGTGTGAAACACACCAAAGCACGAGGCACTGATGAACAAAATAACCACATGGCTGTGCACCCAGCCCGCTGAGGATGCTCCTTAAACCGGCGAGGGGGGCGGGGAGGAGGGATCGATTCTGAGTTGCACAACTTTGCATCTTACAACTCGCGGGAGCAGCAACCATTGAGAAGGAATTGCAAAGTGGCGGGCGCACTCCTGAGCTGACGTCTGCCGTGAGACTGGCCACCAAAATGGCCTGCTTTATCTGGAGACAAATGCCAACCCCCAGCATTCCGCATAAAAGGGTATCTGGAGCCCCGGCGGCACCCGCATTAACCAATCAGTCTTGCAGAAAGCCTGGACTGCAAAAGAAGGCGTTCGGGGACTGTTTTCCTAAGTCTCCATCTGGCTGACCAATCAGTGGCAGAGGGAAGAGGACTCTGTGCCGTGCTCCCAGCTCCGAACCCTCGGAGCTGCCCAGCCCTCCCCAAGGCTGAGCTGGCGGATCAATGAACACCAGGAACAAAAGGAACAGAATAGGATCTCCTCCTTGGATGAGGAGACCACGATTTCCTTTCCCCCTTCCAGGAACCGGTCGCGCCCGCCTAGGACAGCTCCAACCAGGGAGCTCGGGCAGACCACTGCTGGCCACACCAGCCACCCTAAGTCCCAGCTGCTTGCAAATGTGTCACCTGAGGCACAGCCTGTGACAGGGGGCGGGGAGGCTACACGCGCCCCAGCCAAGAGAAACGCAGACGCCCCACCATTAAAAACACTACCTGTCTGCTCTCCCACATGTCATCCCCAGAGTATAAACAAAGCCTGAAAAATCATCTCTCGGGTCTCGCTGACCAGTAGGCAGGGCTTTCTCCTGGAGATAGGATTCTTGCCTGCACACGCACCGTCTCCCCACTCCCCCGCCAAAAAGAGAAATATTCTGGGTGCCCTCCACGGGGAGCTCGACTCTGGGCATGTCGTATCACGAGAGCCAGCTACAGGACTGGAAAGCCGTAGATCTGACAACACTCTGTTTACAACTGATAGTCAAACAGTTGCGACCAGCCATGCTGTTTAAAAAAAAAAAAAAAAAAACTCCTGGGCGAGCCAAACTACACCTCTCCCACGTTGGTTGCTTGAAAATAGAAGTCAACGCCTGGGGAGCTAAGAAAGTGGATTTCCCCACAAGTCAAGAGCTGAGTGGCACCCATTATTCGCTCATTTTTACAAATATATATTTGTAATTAAAAATTTTTTTGAGAAAATGACTATTAGAAATTTGAGATTTTTTTTTTTTTTTTGGAGGGTGGGTGGGTAATGAACTTACTTTTGAGAGAAAACTAATGAAAATAAGCAACTTGCCAAGCCTGGATCCTTCCCACTGGGGCTACGAGCTATAAATCAATCGGAAACCAGGTGGAAATAAGCCGGCGCGGGGGGGTGTGGGGGTGACGGGACGACGCGGGAGATCTTCTCCCCAAACACCAAAGGGTGCCCCCCAAAATGCAGCAGCCCGGGCGGGGAGGGCTTCGCATGACAATGCTAAACCAGAGCGAGGGGCGGGGAGGCAGGAAATGAGCCCCAATTTCGTTACCTTGGATCGCCTGCCCCCCGCGCTGCTTCTCGCGGCCGCGTCGGGGGCTGCGGCGGCGTGGACTCGCGGCTGGCCCCGCCGCCGGGTCGCGCCGTCTCCCGGCCGAGCTGCAGCCGATCGCGGCCGGAACCCCGGCTCCAGCGCCCGGCGCCCGCCCGGGGTCGGCGGCGAGGCTCCCCACCCGGGCCCGGAGCCCTGCTGGGTCCTAGCGCGCGCCGAGCGCCCTCCTGCTGCCCGCCTGCCGCCCGCCCCACGGCCCCGGCGGCTGCCCGCACGTACCGCAGGCAGGCAGCTCGGGAGCGCCGAGGATCCCCGAGGAAAACCGAAAACAGCCGGCTGCCCCTGGCCCGGGCGGCCACGGGGCGTTGGGTGTGTAGTGTGTGTTGTGTGTGTGTGTGTGTGTGTGTGTGTGTGTGTGTGTGTGTGTGTGGTGTGTGCGCGCGCGGACGAACCGGAGCGGAATGTCACATGCTGGCAGAAGACGTTACCAGGAAGACGCCGGCTTGCAAGTGAACTCCGAAGGCAGATGTTGGTGTCTGCAGCCCAGGCGTCCATGCAGCACTGGGCAGGAACTGGCCTTCGGAGGGGCTGCCCGGTGCACCTGAGACGCTAAGAGACGGAGCTTGCAAAAAAGAAAGAAAAAGAAAAAACCACGCGAAGGAAAGAAAGGGGGGTTGGAAATGTGCCTGTGCTTAAAACCGCCCTTTAAACACTTTGCCCACGCATACCCTCCAACCCCCCACCCCCGTAGCTAACAGGTCCAATTTCCAGTTTGCACTCTTGTACTTTCGAATGCGCTCTTTTAAATAACAAAGCCCCATATGGCGAACCACGTCGTCATTTGATTTTCAAAAGACCTCAAAAATTGCATCAGAATATGCAGTCATGTATCTTCCCAGAAATCAACGAGAAAGAATTAATGGTGGCATATGGTGTGCCGCCTAGAGAAAACTTAATTACAAATTAAAACAAATGCGAAAACTCGCAAAATCCGTAAACTGAAAGTAAATTATGGTCCTGGATGTCTGCGCACATCGGCCCGCAGTGCGATTAGGAAGGCTGCACGTTCTAGGGACTCTGAGGGTTTGTTACAAGAAATCCTGTGCCCCCACCTCACCCTTACCTCCATCCCCACCCCCAGGGAGCTGGCAGTAACCTCCAGGCTCCGGAACTGACCGCCCCCGCCCCTCCCCCCAAAGCAACTTTGAGTCAAAGAGGCCGAGGCTAGGAACCCTTCATTACAAGGAAAAGTGCCACCAAGTCAGAAGGTCACAATTTGGTAAGACTGCTACCAGCGATGGTTGCTGTGGTTTCCAACCAGAAGGAAAACGAAATGCCAAGATGTGCTTTCTGAATTCTATTTTTGGATCAGAAAAAAAAAAAAGTCCCTTTGGAAAGTCCTCTGTTCCCTCTCCCTTTCCAATTAGAGCTCCATCAATCTCTCAGAAGTTTTCAAAAGCGCCTTCAGTTGCCACCTTCCATGATGAAACACTGCATGGGATCTGGTCAGGAGATGATAAAATCCCCAATTTTCAGATGAGGATGTGGAGAGTCCAGATGCACACAGTGCTCTCCGGTTGGACTCTCCACCCCCAAGCTTTCAACAGGCCCGCCTGTCCCAGCGAACCCCGGCTGCCCAACTCCTCTCTTCAAGGCGTGCTTCAGAAGCTCACAGGAAATGGCATGAACTGAAAATTCATTTTGGAGCCCCCCACCACCCCCAAATCGAAAACCCATTCATAGTTTTGGGTTTTTTTTTCTAATAAGTACTCCCCAAGGACTTTTCCAAGACTCCCTCAGAGACATACATTTTAAAAATCCTTTGTAGCAAAATAAACTTTTTAAATTCCTATTTTTCCATGACTGTTTTGAAGCATGCTTTGACAGTGCTGTAGGACACTCAAACCACAGACAGAGTTCTGTAGTCATCATTTCTTACCTGGTCAAAGCAGGGATTCACCCGCAAGGGAATAACGAATCCGGACGAAAATAGTTCAGGTTCTGCTAAGCAGGAAAGAGGGCTGCTCAGACCTAGGCTGCTGGGAATTCTGGGGCTCAGCAAAGCCCTGCTCCTGTACACCCCACACATGGAGGAATGAGGTTTTCCCACGTGGATCGTGGATTTTTTTCCCATCTGCCAGCACTAAAGAGGTTCCCAGGCCCTGGAAACTGGAGGCGTTTCAGATGTCAGGTGGCCTACTGGGGAGTTCTAAGCATGCAGATCCAGACCTGGAGACCCCCAGAGTCTCTCCAGGTGTGAAAGGAGTTAGACTGGGCAGTAGGCAGTTAGGGTATTCTGGGTCCCCAAGTCATTTTTTTATATAGAAGGGTGTTTTCCCCACCATGTCTTAGATTCACCAGAGCACGTCTCTTCCAAGGGACAAGGATGCTATCAGCATATCAGTGCCCCACCTGAAGCAGTGGCCACTACCTCTGGCCATTGTGGGAGGGCCTCAGGCTGATCTCTTTATCTTTGAAAGGAGAGTAGGAAGAAGTGATGCACATCTGCCTAAGTCCTGGAATGTCCTATGTCTGGCACCTCTGTGGCCTTTCGTCCCAAGGCCAGGTACCATGGAAACCAGGAATTTTCTTTGTTTATGGAGAAACATCTTTGAAGTAAACCTTTAAAAGGTGCATTCCCCACCACTGATATGAGTCCTCCTGCAACTATGGCAGAGGACTAGGGTCTTTTTTACTTTTCCTCCTGCCACTATGGCAGGGGGTAAGGGTCCTTTCTATCTCAAAGCCCCCTCCTGTCTCTAGGATGGGAGTCTCTCTTCTCAGCTTTTCTAATAAATCTTGCTTTAAAACTAAACTGTGTCCGCACGAAAATTCTTCTTTCCTGCAAGACAAGAATTGAGGTTGCTGCCGTACTCGGGGTCCAAGACCCTACAACACAGGCAGCCACACTTCAACTCTCCCATACCCATGGGCAAATCACCAGCTAGATCTGTCGATAGCGGCCCACTTCCACCTCCCTCTGCCAAAGAGAAACTTCTCATCTCTCCTGATGCTTCCCAACCCATCAATATACCAGTCAGGTGAGGGACTGGCAGCATGTGACTGAAAAAAAAATTATTCTGAAAAAATGATTCATTGCTTTCTCTGTGCAGTTCGTAAGGAAGGGGCTGGGCACAGCAAGACCATTGAAAGATGAGGGCAGCCAGCCTTCCTGGGGATTAATGCCAAACTGACTTGATGACTTCATTTGATCCCTTTGTTGAAAACTGGCCTAATTACTTTATAGTCACACCATCCATATGGCCTTCAAATGTTGCTAATGCTTGGCTCAAAGTAATCTTAGCACCAAGAGTCGGTGATGAGACGCTGAAAGAAATGTTGGTAGTCAGCAATTCCTTCAAGCTAGGGCTAGAAGAGGTACTGGTCACACTAGAAAAGGTACCAGATGTCATTCATCCATCCATCCATCCATCCATCCATCCACCCAATTGTGTATATTTCAGGTGTTGAGTCAAGTACTATTCTAGGTCATGGGTACGAAAAGCAATATCCTGGAAATATCTGTTATATGGAGCACATGGACAGGTAAGCAAAGTGTTATAGCCCTGTAGTTAAGTCCTGCCTCTGACGCCCTCAGTTCAAGTGCCAATTGTCCCTCATCTGGGCCAAATGTATTCTGAGCTGTTTGTAGCCATGCTCTTTGCCCTGCATTGCTGGGAGCTGCCTCTCACTCAGACTCCTGGTTCAGTTGGTTGAGGGCTGAGGATAGTCTGGGGACCTTAGAATGAGAGCAGAGGATGCCAAGAAGAGAGAGACGCCAGAGGATGCTTCATCTCCCTCCAGTCACGGCAGCATCTGGATGAGGTATCTACAGGGTGATCCTGGGCTCAAATGACATGTCCACTTCATGCTAACACTGGAATTCGTCTCCAGGTAACTTCATTGAGGTGTATACGGGAGTAGGGAGAAGAAAGTCCTCCACCCCAAAGGGCACACCCGAGGCATGGACAGTGGCACGGAGGGATGGAAAAGCAAGACTGGCAGAGTGTTCACGGAAAGCTGTTTGGTAAAAATGAGCTTTCAAAGGATCCCAGGGGCCCGTGTCCACTGGGGCTTGAATTTGACCCTGACCTACACATGGCAAGATCCCCATCCTTTAAGTCTTTATTCAACTGACCCCTTTTCCGTTTTCTAATTTTCCTGATTCTATTGTACTTCTCTTTCTTCCCTTGCACTTACAACTTAGAGCATATCACCATTTACTCATGATTGTGGCTTTCATTGTATTTATCCCCTCACCTCCCTAACCCCAACCACCTGCACACGCATACACCAACAGAAATTCTAGGAACAGTCACTTGGGCAAATAAGCTCCTGGTTAAGGTGCCTGTGCTCCACACCAGAGTGTCTGGATTTGACAGCTTTGACTTTGGTTTCCAGCCTCTTGACAATGCAAACCCTGGGAAGAGGCAGTGATGGCTCAAGCAATTGGACTCCTGCCTCCCATGGGGAACAGTTCCCAGAGCTGCTCCAGTCTAGCCCCGACTCCTGTGTGCATTTGAAAAGTCTCTCTCTCTCTCCTTCCCTCCTCCATGTTTGTCTGCATCTCAAATTAAGAAAACAAAAACAGAAAGCCAAATCCAAACAAAAGATCGAAACTTGACAAGACCAGGAATCTTTGTTCCCTTGGTGTATTTTTTTTTTAAAAAAGATCTATTTATTATTTTGATTGGAAAGGTAGATTTACAAAGAGAAGGAGAGACAGAGAAAGACCTTGCATCCACTGTTTCATTCCCCAAGTGACCACAACAGCCGGTGCTGAGCCAATCCAAAGCTAGGAGCCTCTTCTGGGTCTCCCATGGAGTGCAGGGTCCCAAGGTTTTGGGCCGTCCTCAGCTGCTTTTCCAAGCCACAAGCAGGGAGTTGGATGGGAAGTGGAGAAGTGAGATTTGAACCAGAACCCATATGGGATCCTGGCACTTTGCAAGGAGAATATTAACTAGTTGAGTCACCTTACCTGGCCCCGCTGTCTTCAGTGATAAGATGTAAGAATCTAGAAGTGTAAGAATCATAGTGAAGGTCTAACAAAGGTTAAAATGCATCAATG